TTCATTAAGGTTGTGCAATTGGGTAATATGTTTCTAAAGACGTCTTAGCGTAGAGACCGGTATATACAGACTTTTAGAAAACTTAGGTTTCCGGTACTCTAAGGGTGCGATTTTGTTGAGGATGTTTCTGGTGATATGATATTGCACAACAAGGGCGGCCTGCTTGAGCATCTGGGCTACCTGTTCCTGCCATCTAGACATTTCAACAACTTATCTATTTTTTGTTTGTTTTAATATATCATTATGTTTATTAATCGCATGACCTATTCTGCTGCGTTTCTGAGAGGTGTACAACCTTTCGTTGTCAAAGTTACAAAAAACTCAATAAGAGCCAACGTGGTTGCTGGCAATATACAGCGAAAGGAATGCACATTATTCAGATGTTCATTTACTGAACTGCTAACATCTAACTGGCGGTCACTCAATATTTATCGCCAGGACCGACCAAGAAGAAAGAAACGGAAACTTGTTGAAATACTTTGTGCTGAGAATTCTATTTTGTACCAAAAATATAATATTGAATAAAGCTGATAATAATAATAATAGAACATATTACTTATTGTGTCGGTATTGTTTGCAGTAAAGAAGGTTCCCCAATCAGTACTTTTTATGTAATTTTGAAAGTTTTTCCAACCGACCTTGTGATAGTTTCTACGAATTGTTACAGTTTCTCATCTACCGGCTGAGGTCTTTACATTAAGGCTACATATGACAATGATATGATCGCTACCTAGAAACGTTTTCCTATATACACAGTGTTGGGGGTGAGGCCAATAGTAAAGGTAGATTCCAAGATATTTTGATGGCTAGTAAAGCTACGGACATACTGAATCCACCGTCCAAGCTCTAGACATTCACTAAATGATTCATAAATTTTTGGCGCCTTGACTGTGAACCAACAAATTTCACGTATGCCGAAGTCATCACAAATAAGCTTTCCTGTGGATAATAGGGATGATGCTAGTGTGAATACCTCTAGCAATATTGCTATATCACCTATTTATACGTTAGGTTAATGCCAGACATCCGAACAGTAAAGCAATCGTACGGAGTCCCGCAATTTATTTAGTTCGGGCATATCACATAATAGTGAATTTTAAGCCAGGGTGAGGATAAATAAGTCATCCCCTGCCTCGTCTTTCTGATCTTCCACCTCGATATAGGAAATAGTTGTCAAGAGATACACTTAGGTCGGAAATAACACTGTTAGTCCATGATTCAGATACCATCAAAAGTGATCGCTGACAAATTGATACAAACTATGCTAACCCCGTGTTTTTTATTACAGACCGACCTAGCGTTGATAAGACACATTAGACGGATGGCACACTAAATTAAAATGGGTGAGAGTATCTCGATTAAAGTTTTCATAGCCTTTAAGGTTGTGATATGGGTTCGAAGTATGAGATCAGTTGTTCTCCAATAGCTCGTTACTTTGGTAGCTAGAGTTAGAGGAGGATATATCAAGTGAGCCAGCAAAGATACTTGGAGTGTTTACCTAGGAGGAAAATGTGAGACTACTCCCTGATCGAAACCGTACGGGGGAAGCAAATTTATGTTCGGCTTGTGGTTCGAAATGACTTTGGCTATATACTTCAACAGAGACGTCAGTAGGAGCCGTATTCTAAAAACTCTGGTTCAGGCTGACTGTGAAGTGCACTGTTATTTGAAAATAGTCTTGTTGCTTAAGCTCTTAGCCTCTGACATAGCTATTTACGTTCGTTTGAGCATAAGAAGGAGCTGCTGCACGTAACTGGAGGTAGTTACGACTGTTATTATACATGGGAGCCGTTTTTTGTGATGGGTTGGTACTGAAGGGTGTAAAAAGTTCTCTATCTGAGAGTAATTACAATCGTGACCCTGAGGTACGCATATAGGGTATGGGGTGAGAAACCTATTATTACCATGCCTAATAATGATTTTAGGGCTTCCGGAATGAGTGGAGTGATCGGTACTCTGACAGCTCTTATCAGTCTACATGTAAACAGAGTTGTTACACTCAGGCTTACCACAAGTGTTGCAGCTTAAAGGTGTTAATGGCAGGTTATACGACGGCAGCAGGGAGAACCTCCTCACGGTTGTTGGGATACATATAGAACAGTTGGGTTCAATCTTACGTGTTTCCCTATTTGGCATTATGGATTCTGTCTCCCCAAACTTTCTTGTCAAAGGTGGAGAGTCTCTTTGTCTTTCTGAAATGAATTCAAGTTCATTTGAGTCATCTTGTAAAGTACTCTTAGCAGGATTAGTTTTCAAGTGAATAGGTTAAGTTAGCTTTTTGTCGTCATATGGCTCACTTTGAAGTGCATTAGGAATGTCGCTATGATTTTTGGTGACAGTTGGAATCCGTATTATATCCGAAGGTTTCTGATCTGCTGACTCATCTAGACCTAAAGAGTGACCTGCCGGTTGTGGAGTGACATCATACTTATTGTTCATGCAATTCAAATTATTTGTCGTGTTACAAGCTGTCTCTAGCTGGTTATTTGTGACACTATCATGTAATCCTTTCACTTCACGTCTTCCTACACGACATTGTCAGGGCTTTATGTCTGGAGTGACTTTTTACGCTCTTGTATGGAATTAATGAGCTGATACTTTTGCTTGCATCAATAAACTGTTTAGCATAGTTACAACTTCTGACTTTTCTCTAAGGTCAATTACTTGGTAGTTGACGTTCCCCGTGCCTCATGCTCTAAGACAAATATCCACTAACTTATTTGGGAGATTGTATATAACTACAATGTAGAACTACATCGCTCTTTTCGTCACTACTTCAGCCACAAACTCTAAAATACACTCAGCTTAGTGAGTTGTTCAAGATTTTTATCAGTACTAAGGCCCCATATGTGTGTGAGGAGTGCTAATCGGTTAAGCCTACCATTAGTTTCCGCTAGAGAGTTTTGTCACTGACGGATATCAGTATTTTCGTATGTGTGAAATAAACTATTAGACTCCTTGGTCTTTGAAACTTTGGATTTAGGCCTTAGTACGGCATACTGTCTAGTAGACTGTATTAACTTTTCGATGCACTTGGGTATTGTACCTTTTGTGTCAACCTATCTTACCCTTGGCACACTGCACGAAGAGACAGAGGGGTTGTTACATGGGGAATCAGGTAGTGATAGTGATATTCGTGGATATGACGCATAGGGTTTAAATGACAAATGTTTAACAATGGGAGGTACTGAAGCGTCAGTCATATGGGTTACAGATTTTTACCTTTTTGTTGGTTCAGAAGTTGGTGAAGTTTCTCTTTTACTGGTATTACTTGAATCTAGGTGAGTAGAGAGCTCGTTAAACTAGATGTACTGTCTGAGTATACAGTTATTGTTAAGTAGTAACCGGGTGATTCCTAGAATCAAAAACTATGAGTATGTAATGTATTTCAGATATAAAGTGTTTTGTTGCAACGTAAGGGAGTAACGATCAATGGAATGTCAATATTTAAAATAGTATAATCCAAGGATAAAGACGCGTCAATGTCAATTGCTTGAGGCTTATATAAGATATGTGAGAAACGAAGAACGCGATATGTACACAGTAACGGGTAAATGTTCTTCGAAATTATTTTCTGGGATAAAATGTGCCCTATATACAAGATAGGATGATAATCTCAGCATAATACAGCTCAGTCTTCCTAATTAGAGAAATCACAATGATCAGGTCATATTGGCTCCGTATTGTCACAAAAGGTGCCGCATTGTCTGGGACCGAGATGGACTAGCCGTTCATAGTATTTTACGATACCATTGGTTAACAGTACCAGTCTGTACTAGCCCTGTGATTGATGTTAGTTGAGCTTGGTCGCGATTGATCAGCTACTGCCGACGTTCTGACGACAACAAATGTGTTGGTCCTAATATTTGATATGATGACAAAATGTTCCATCAGTTTACAATATAATCACGGAGCGGCAAGGTGTCATAAATGCTTATTGATGCAAGAAAAGTCTTAACTACTTATCCAACGTATATCTCTGAGCTCTGCAAGTAGGTGATCGTGATCAATCACGATGGAAAAATGGCTCTCATACAAACGGAATTGAGCGCATTCAAACTTCACATGCTAAAAAGAGAACCATCATATCCTTTGTTGACGTTAAAGATACTACAGATATTCAGGGTTTGCCAAAGCTTTAGTCTGTAATACCTTTGTAATCGAAGGATAGCTGTCTGGTCAAGTCAGAAGTCAGTGATTAGTGAGTCCGAAGTCATATTCAAAAAAGTTGTTGATATGATGAGAAGCGTTTGATCTTAGCTGTGAATTTTTCGCAAGGGATGCGTAGCACGGAGTACCTAATCGTTATCCAGTCCGGACGCGTGACAGAGCGCTTTCACTTAGGGTGCGTCCAGGAGAAATAATGGGGTTAGCATCAATGTCGAGGACTAATTTGATGATGTCACAGGTATCCAGTGTTTGACAACGCTTCTACCAGTAACACTTTCTAATATATTTCGTTCCCGCCCAGAGAAATCAAAAGACAGAGTCGAGGAGATCGGAAGAGTGTATTTGGCGATGACCAATATATCGGAATTCTCTGATCTAATCTGGCTAGCGATTGCGGTTGATGTTGAGCACGGCGTTACCACACGTGATCTGGTGCGGATGCCTGACCGAGCGCCTTCAGCTAGATGAGTCCACTAAAACATATGGTCAGCATCGAATGTCGAAAACTTAGAGCTATTTATTTTGGGGATTTATTTACCGCTACAAATTATTTCGGGAACTTGTTTACCGCTACTGGACGTAGCTAGACGTAAAATGATTGATGGAACAAACTCTACCACCTACATTTTACATTCTTTCACGTGTATATAATGTTAACCGAAGTACTTGTATCTTCAGCATGTAAAATCCAGCCCTGAAATCCCTTTTGTGTAACTTTAGTTCAGGATATTAGCAGATAATATTTAGATTCATCTATGACTGAAACATAGTCTTATAACAAGATTTAATGTTTGGATACTAAGTTACATTTATTAAGGTCTATATTTCGAGGAATGCTAATAGCAATTTTTGTTTATGTATATTGATTACAGAGTGGTGAACATCGACCTTTGTCATATACTTGTCCATGTTCGCTGTTTCCGCGTCTGCTCTTCTGTTTTCCATCGTTGTGCATGCTTTAGTGGATAAAATCGCGAAATGTTTAAACCCGTTTCGTCATGAACTATCTGAAAATCAAGAATCAAAGCCAAAATATGTTCAGAGGCAGCATTTTATTTGGCAAAACACGTGTGTATCTTTTGTGCACGCCTTTGTATCAGGGATTTGGTCTTTATCAACGTAGGTATCTTGACAGGTAATTGAGTTTTTCAAGGTTTTACTTCGAACCCGACTTCCTAACCGATTTGATAAACCTGTCTACATGGCGATCTATTTCTCTGGTATCCTACTCTCTTGGTAGCTTAGCTTGTTGTTTCATATGCTTCAGGTTACTTCATTTTTGACTCTTTACATATGGCTATCCTGCATCCTTATCGGTCTACGGCTGAGTTGTTGGTGCATCACTTTGTCGTAAGCATGTATATTCGTAGTTACTTGTAGATATTTTTGTGCTTCTCATCTGCATTATTATCTGGCAACTATATTGGGTATGCGGTTGTTTCGCTTCTTCCGGAAGTTAACTCAATCTTCTTGCACTTGCGAAGGGCGATGAACTACTTACATGTGCCCAAAAGAAATCCCATCTTTCGTGCCATTTGTTTGTTAAACATTAGTGAGTTTATGCTTTGTAGTCGATCGTGATTTCTTTAAACCTTGGTTTTTATGCGTTATTGTAAGCAGTGACTTACTATTGATTTTACAGAACATCTTGCACAAGATGTATTAAAAAATCGGAAATAATAAGTTTCATGCAAGAACATTCTAATGAAATTTCATTTGAAATTTGAATACTTATGAAATGCAAGCATCACGTAGATCACCTGCCATTAAAATTTAACTTTTCGCATCCCATTATAAATCACCACAGTCGCCCTATCAACTAATTTGTCGTCAGGTAGCTGATGGCGCAATATTCTTGAGGATAATTCTCATTGTACTCAATGGCATGCCGGAAAAGATTTCAGGCCAGAGCTTCTAGGTATTAGTGTTTAGAATGTTCTATCAGATAATCAATTCTAGGAAGACCTTGCCCTCAAATTTATCTGCTTGGGTTTTAGTAAATTCTGATACGCGCTCTGCAAGGTTTGACTTAACATGTTTGGTACTCAATAGTAAAACCACAAACCTTAAGTTTCATTCATCTTAATACTTTCTTAATTCATATCTTAGTGTATCAGACCTTTAGGTCGAAGGCTCCGGGTGTGGCCCCTGAGAAAACCACCTGTTTCTGTTCGGGCACCCGGGCAGTATCCTGCCCTCACACAAGTCGGATGATTTATGTGGCGCGTATCTGTTTGGTGCCTCCTTGTACCAATGTTTATATGTTTAAATAAATTCTCTGGGACGACATTCGTCGAACATGCCCAAGTCACCGAAGTCAGTGCTTCAAGGTAGTGACATCAGTTGAATTGACCTAACCACTGCTATGAATCCGGTGTTCATCTTGTTGTGCTGATGCGGTATGGCAACCTGGACCGATGCACATATGTGCCTGGTCCTACGTTGTAGCTGACTGAATTGTCGTCGCTGTACTTAAACATACGATGTGGAACTTCGGTATTACTAACATAATGCCACTTGATGTCCGCAATCCTTCGAAGACAACGATGATCAAACACAAAGTCGTCTGACATCCTGAACTCGAAGAGGCCAGGTCCCACAAACATAAAGCAGAACTGCTCTCACCGAGGCTTTGTAGATCCTACCTTTTACAGCCAAAGATGGCCCAGATTGACATAAGCTGCTCTGGCTTTCACTATACTTGAATTGATCTCATCACTCACGCCACCACCTGCACTTACGCAGCTACTCAGATACATGAACTTCTCGACTACTTTTATCTGTTTACTACCTAAGGTGAGTGCAGGATCAGAGTCCCGCCAGTCTTTTAAAAGTATTTTGCACTTCGGAGGTGCAAGGCACATATCAAAACTAAGGACATTAAGTGCCAACTGATTGCGTGCGGTTTGGCTTGGGTATTATCGCACAGTAAGACAATATCATCCGCATACTCAACGTCGACAAGTCATTCTCTAAGCAACAGATCCACACAGCCATTACTTAGATCCATTAGAGCTGTTTCCAGAACGTCATCGATAGCAAAGTTGTAGAGGAATGGTGAGATTGGGCAACCCTGTCTAACCCCACTGCTCGAATAGAACTATGGGAAAAGTGGTTGTATGCCCTCACTCTACCTGGTGTTTGTAAATAGGGCTTTTAAGATGTTAATAAACTTCTCAGGCACACCCTTCTTCAATAAACAGTCCCAGAGCATAGTCGTGTCCGGCGAGTCGAAGTCGGCCCTGATGGTCTGTGATAAGTATGACGGTGTTCTAACATTTGGCGGAGGGCGAAGATATGGTCATTACATCCTTGACCAGGACGAAAGCCAGCCTGCTCCTTGCTGGTCAATTTTTCCCAACCTACGAAGTAGGACGGAAGCCAATAGTTTGGACGCAATCGTATGTAGGCTTATCCTCCGTTATTTGTTACAGAAACGATGTGAACCCTTTTTAAAGATAGGGACAACTATCGACTCATTCCATGATGCTGGATACTCTCTAACTGCCAAACCTTTGTAAACAAAACAGTCAGCCCCTTAACCAGAACGTCACCACCATCTTTAAAAAGGGCCGGAGTTAATTCATCTGGGCCTGGTGATTTATAGCGCTTCAAGAGTTGGAATTCCTTATAGACATCTGCCTGGTTTGGTGGATCAGTCGTCACTGGTCATGGTGAGCAGGACAGTCTGATCGATGTTGTTGGGGCAGCGGACCAGTTGAACTGTTCCTCGAAGAACTGCCCATCGTCCAAGACGGTAGATGTTAGTGATTGGCATCCCGTCATCTTCACAGGTTATTTCGTTCACACAAGACTTCTTGCTGTCAGTGGCTCAGATAGGTACTCCAAAAGGAGCGGCGGTTGATCGTGATGTGATCATTCTGAATCCAGGCTTAAGATACAGAGGTAGGACGCCAGGTTGTACATCGGCGATGACTGTGACAATAGTTAATGCTAGAAACAGGTTGTTGTATGTGCACAGTTGCAGTAGACGGTCACCGTTATATGACGTGCGATCAACAACTCCCGATCAGCCACCTAAACGACTTTCTTCTGTGCCTAGACGCCCGACCTGAGCATTCAAGTCTCCGACTAGTACTACAATATCTGTCGAACGCACTTTCTGTAGAAGAGCAGTTAATTGGTAATATAACTCTTCCTTGATCACATTCGTGTTGCAATCTGTCGGAGCATAGGCGGCGATGTCGAAAATACATCGTTTCTCACACCGATTTCTTCTTACTTTGATGGGACTTTCTAATCTAACAGCACATAGCCGACTGTTAATGGGTATCTAATCTGTCTGTGCTACCTCAGCTCTGGCACTTAGTTCGACAACAAAACCAGACGAAGATGCCTCAGGGTCCCCGGATAAACGCACGTAAAACAGGCTTTTCGAAGCGGCAGATGGAGAGCGAATTTGTAGTGCTTCACTAAAGTCGTGAATTCGAGTCTCAGATAGCCAACAGACGCCGATATTAAAACCTTCTAAAGACACAACCAACCTTACCTGTTGTCCGATCTGCATCCATGTGCGAACGTTTATGGAGGCCTGTTTGAATGGTGCACGTGGTCTCAGAAAGACTGTCTCAGTATTCGTAGTTGGTGGTAGCATGTGAGAGCATTTCGAGGAGAGCTCACTCTCCCCACCCTCGGCGGTACCAGGGCATTTGGGGGCTCTTCGCTGATTACAGTTGACTGACAGCACACGAGACTGACTGTGGGTTGGTGGAAACTTCTAAATAAGTAAAGCTGTTTATACGATCATTCACTTTATTATCTAAAGTCAGACTAAAAGTGCTTGGAAACCCATTCTGCTTCATGCGTTTCCAGGCTTAGTAATTATACGTTTCAGCTCGAAACAGACACTAACTTTATATTGCAGTGTTGTGGTTTAACAGAAGTACTCCTCATGCGTACTTTAAATCGGCTGAATAATCTTTTGGTACCAGAACCATCTTACGTAAGTTTACAAAAGGTTGAATTGGAACGATCAACATAATATTTCGAGTAGTCTAAGCAAACTATGAAGGATAAATTAGGGGAAAGCCGTGTAAACTAAGATAATATCAAAGGCAAGTGCAATAAGTAAATACAGCTAATAAACAGTATAACGTGTCACGTTATGTTACAACTGAAAAAAAGCCGAAAAGTGGATGCATGTGTCATATCTATTGATTTCAAATTATATCCAGGTTTTTCTGTTTTGATGTCCTGAGTCAGAAAGCTTGCTTCTTACCAGTTTCTAATCAATGTACCGTCGTTATGTAGTAGTAAACAGATTTCTTTCACATCTCAAATTTAATTGTCTCTAAATTCGTATATGTTAGAAACCTGAATACATCACGCGTCAAAACAGCACCATCTAAGTGCAAAATATTTCTTAACTTTCCTGCTGTTCATAAATTGTTTCAATAAAATTTCATTTACAGGTTCATTTATTGTGTTCCGTTTCATGGTATTATCTTGGATGACTCGTTGGATTGTCATTAATCGAGATCGAGTTCCATTCGGATACTACTGCCTTGGCTCAGTTGGCCTTGCTGTGTTAATGGTTATGAATATTGTTCTGTTCATCCGGGTTGTTTACGCTGATTTTCTAACAAACAATACAGTTTCCAGTGCAGCGTTGTTAGTTTCTGCAGCTGGCTCTAGTACAGGTGCACCTGGGAAACCTCATCTGTCAGTGCATTCATCTTATGTTTCTGCACATTAAGATGATTCTGTCCTTTTATTTTGTATACCGTATATATTTTTTAATTCGACTTTTGAAGAATCATTTTTTGTGAAACATGTAAAACAATATTTCATCTTTTCGTCTGTGTAAATAAGCATTACAGTGTCTGTCAATTAAATTTGCGAATTTAACCTGTACTTTTATAATTCTGTTTCAGTGTAATATTAATCCTCAGTATGACTCACTGCCTTATCTGTGATATTACTTCAATACTTCCCTATCCTCTTTACTTTTTGATTGTTCACCTATGTGTCTACAAGTTTTATGTAGTGCGTTTATTCACTAACTTTGGTCAGTAGTTGCAGAGTTAGGAATAAGAGTCCATACTATTTCAGGGGGATTTAATGTTAATGTACTTTTTATTTGTTTTGATATTTTCTATATTACATAATTTTATGCTAGAAATAATTAATAAACTTCTAAACCCATTATTCAGATGAATAAATTTATACATAACCAACGTTCATTTTGATTTTTAATTAAATTAGTTATAATTCCCGATGGCGTTGGTTAGATTTGTCTGTTGTTCTATCTAAACTTGCTAGGATGTTATATCCTTGTGATCTAATTACCTTGTGATGATCGAATAATCAGTAGTAGGATTCGAATTATGTAATTAGTACACGTTTAAGATTATGTTAACGGATGGTTGTTACCATCTCCCTACCAAAACCTGGCACCCGGCATCAGTCTAAATTCCGATACGTTAACAGAGGAGAGGAATGAAATTCAATTTCAGTGGGAATGTAAACACGAGAAGCTTAATCAAAAAGAAGCAAAACTGAATAATGGAGACGTAGAAGTGATTTAACAGCGACCGGTTTTTGACCATAATCCCATACATCTGCAACCATTGATTAAATTCATTGTAGATGTTCCAGCTAGCAAGCTTGCATGTAGAGTGTTACTACAGTGAACTCCTTTCATAAACGTATGCTACGAATGCCTAACTCGCACGAGGGAAGCGTATGGACACAGATGTATCATTTATTTTTCATAAGCTTAAATAAATATTCCGAGAGTCGACATATTTGTTCTTTATGGGATTCCACCGAAATACATTAGAACAAAAATATAAATACATCATGTAATTCTTCAATATCCTATCTCTGAGGATCGCTTCAAGAAAGTAGATATGATAAAGTATGTAGTTGATGTCCTAACTTGTACAAGTATGTCTTAAGACTATTCAGTTAGGATTTTATATCTATGATTACAGCTTAGATGCCAATAAGATATACTGGTACTATATTCTTACACATTTCGTAGTGAATAATGCCTATTCTGAGGTTTACAGTAAAGTGTACAGCGTAAAAAATCATCAAGGGCAAAAAATAAGTTGAGGCTGATAAATGAAAATATTCAAAAGTGTAGTCAAAAATGATTTAGGATCTAACTTTCGGTAGTTTGTGCATATTTGTGCTTCCAGTGGAGTTATAACCCTTTCTCTGTACAAGTTGATAACATTTCGTTGGATTTAATCATATGTAAACTTGAAAATGAGCTTGATTCGTCGCATATTATTCTTAAGTTCTCATGGAGTTTTTTGGTACCATTTGTAGTTTTGACCATTCACAATCAGATGTGTATGCGATTTACTTGTACAATTCTTAATTTATATTTTATCACATGTAATATTCATCTAGTTTGTAAACACATATTTATTGATCAAGTATAAAGAATTTATTTTGTAATAATATTTTTGCTAAAATAGTGCTTCTTAAATAAATGAGATAGATTATTTGATAAAGTGAATCCTGATCAACTGAGATTGTTGGGATTTATTTACTGAACCTCCGCCTATCCTAATTTGGTTCACTAACCAATATGAAAATACTTGGTTGAAAAGCATGAATAATCAAATCAAGAAATTAGGACCAATTCATCAATTCTTTCACTACTGATCTGAATCGTGTATAAAGAATTGGGTTTCGTATTTAGAATTCCCTAACAACTTGACTCCCCTACCACTTAAGTTTCGATAATATGTTGCAATATCGGTTACATACTTTCTTCATCCTATATTTAATCTCAGATAATAATGTTTGTACTTTTGAAGTTTTTATATTTCAATTCTAAGTAATTGGAAAACATAATTTGAGCAAATAACAATTATTATTGATTTGTCACAAGGTTTTGTATTGTAGTTAGAGAAATTCCATTTGGTCTTTATGAATTGTTTAATGGGTATGTATTCATTATTCTCAGTGAAGTTTTGAAGTTGACTGAGAAACTACTGAAAATATATATTCGTATCCTCCAGTTGTACATTCACTGGATTGCTTTACTTGTCTTTCTTTCCTTACCGCTCCGATCATCATTATTTTCCATCTAGGCCTTGTTATTGTTTTTATCCGTTTGTTGTGCTGATAATAATTCTGAGGCTCGAATTAATATACAGTTTTGCGTGGTCTTACTTTGTATTGGTGCCTGTATTAGTTTATTCTAGCTTTTGGATAGACGAGTCATTTTAATCTTATTGGTTGTTTTGTACACGAAGCTAAATAAGATCCATGCTTCATTAAGGTCATTGTCATTATATTGGAGTTGATTTGCGGTTATAGCTTTATTTCCTCACTTTACTCAATCATATATTAATCTTAGAGAGAATCTTACACCGTGAATTAACCGAAATTCCTATACTGTTCAGTGTTGTAAACTGTCCTGATCGATTGTTATAGCTTGATTTAGTTACTGTTTGGTTTGTAATCAAGTCACTAGTGTGAGTGACATTTTAGACATGAGAATAAGTCATTCTCATGGCAACCACTTGTTCTTCGTTTGTTTATTCACGTGTTATTCATTTTACTGAAGAAATGAGTGCGCGATCGATCGACCTAATTGATAAATCGGTAATTGTTAGCTGTCCAATAACCTTAACTTTCAAGCCCATATACTAGGAAGTATAAGAAATAGCCTCTAACTAAATATTTCTCTAAGAACGAGACACTTCTTTCTATAGTAACATCTATTATACTTAACTGAGGTAAATATTTATTGGCTGCTTTTAATAACTCAGTCTTTCACTGTGAATATGATCAACTAAAAAATTATTATATTCTTTATTCTAAACAGAGTTCTCCTATTTCTATTTTGTACATTTGTTAATAACGTGTGACTTTTCAACAACAATAATAATCATTAGTATGCAAACTGTCAATTTTCCCGCCATCAAAACTTTGGTCATTATTCATTTTAATTCATCAATATAGCTACTCTAATATTTCCATAAATAAACTTACATTTAATAAATCATGTTAAATCATTCATCATCAACATTCTTGATTGATAACATGATATTAATTGTAAAACTTGCACAAAGAATTAATTTGTTGCTCTGTTCATTTGATTTTGATGTGTAAAAATTTAATATAAGATAAACAAGATTATAAGATGTTTTGCATATAACCATTATGATCAGAAGTTTGAAGGTCACTGATTGATGGATTATTTGAAATTTTACAAAATAAACTTACTTTCTGATTGGATGACTTATTCAGTATACAGTAAACCGAAGAACCTTGTACCTATTTATATTCAATAATTTTGTTGTTTGATTATATTTTCCTTGAAAAAGCTTGGACCAGATTGCCAGGCGAAACGATGGATTTACTTAGAATTCATTCGCTGAGATTTTACAAATATATTCTTCTTTTTAAAGCTTACAGTTCTGTTTTACATATGTAGTTATGATCAGTTCACTAGTATGTCAGTGTATTTTGCTAATTCAATGATTTAATTTAGATTTTATAAACATGCTATCCATTTTATGAATAAGGCGTCGATGTGATTAATAGTGTTACCACTATCATTAAGTAATATGTGCCATGAAGTTAGGTACATAATTTCTCATTTTATTACTGAATTAAATTGAAAGTGATGTGCAAAAAACATATACAGATCTAATTTTAGATGTGAGGGTAAGTCGAATTAAAAATGCAACTAACGTGTACTAATCTACACCTTTATTAAGTCAGTCATGAATCAATAACTTTCCACAATATCTGGCAGTTGTACTTTTGTCAAATATAATTACTACGATTTCCCATACAAATAGTTCTTTTTCTTATCTTGAAAAGAGAGAAAACAAAAATTGATGCAGAATAATATGAATTAATTGTATTTTGTTATGTTCTCATCGGCTGCTTACAACCTATAATATTTAAAATCAACCTTATTACAGATATTGACATACAAATACGAAAGTGATTAGAGATGAATATGTGTATCATGATGTAGCGAAGATTCCAATGGAGGTAATAGGGTCGTAAAAAGTTTTGTTTCGGATAGATAAATAAGTAATTTGGGAGGGGAAGTTTCAGAACATTGAAATCAGTTAGTCACATTTTTCTTTATTACCATTAATCCGTTTTCAGTCGCTTCATTCCACAATGATCTAATGTTTGTTAACTCCATCAGTTCCAATCACTATTTCAATTTTCTGGGACTTTCCCTCTCAAACTATTTATTTATCTATCCGAAACAAAACTTTTTACGACCCTATTAAAATCTTCGCCACATCATGATGCATGTATTCATCTCTAATCACTTTCGTATTTGTAAGTATGTCAGTATCTGTAATAACATTGATTTTAAAATACTATAGGTTGTAAGCAGCCGATGAGAATCTAACAAAATATAATTAATTCATATTGTCCTGCACGAATCTTCGTTCTTGCTCTCTTTACCATGATTTTGTTTACATAGATCCATTGATTTCAATGTGATTTATTTCTCAATGTTACTCAATGTTTTTTAAAAAAACAATTTTGTTTTCATTTCTAATAATTTGGTTTTTTTTCACTATACAACAAATAGTCATGACTTACAAACTAAGTGATGCCTATAATAGAACAATTACATACAATACATACTTTATAAAGTTTTCATTTCTTAATGTGTATGTGTGTCAGTACTTGTTTTTTGTTTGTCTTCGTGAAAAATCCTGATTGAAAAGAAAGTCCGACTAATTTTTAAACTATTGTGTTTCTTGATTTGTTACTTTAATACAAATATCATACACTCTAAGGGAATATCCTTCATTTCAAGTGTTTCTTACTGTAAAAGTAACAAACACATGAAGTCACTAGTGATTCATATTGGTTTTGTAAACAGCTGACTATTGATCATCAATGGAGAAAGATTAGTCGTGGGGGAAATCTTATTAAGTCGTAAGGGGTAATATGATTATTAAAATAACCCCTTGTGTCACTGAATAAAAACAAAAAGCATTCAGCGAAGAAAACTTTCTGGTGAGACTATAATTTATGGACGAACCAGTCAGATTTAAGATAGCAGGTCTTGGGTTTCAGTGCAAAATTCATTCATCCACTTGGCTAAATAGCGTTTTGGCATTTAGCTGATGTCAGTTCGTGATGAAAACCCGAAATCTAGTTTCTAACCCTAACGATCAACTGTAAATCATAATTCTGATTTCTCACACTGCTTTGTAACCCTCAT